CACCCTGTCCCTGGATCCACCGCTGCCAACAAAACTGACGCTATGAAATGCATATGAAAGAAATAAAAACAAATATAAGCAGCCTCGAATGAATATTCAAGGCAAAATCATTAACAGTTAGAGGCCCTATTAAATCCGATAGATAGGAAGCTCAGCCACTGAATTATAACAAGTAAATATTTTGTCAATAATGAACTCATGTGTGGGAAAAAGCAAAATGTTATGTAGCCATTTAGTAGTTATCTTACTTTCTTTTAATGTTCATGGCCATATCAATTTCTTCTGTTTTTCAGCCACTAATCCCAATGAACAGAGTAAGATTCCAGGTAAGTTGCAGCAATTAGTAGATATTTGCATTTGTGTCTTATTTGAACATTGTATTGAGTAAATTCCAATCTACAGACATTAATGATAATACTTCTGTTTGTTTTTTATTTCGAAGTATTTATGGCAATTTTAAATAAATATTAAATGAAAAAAAAAAATTGAGATGAATAAGAATAATTTGCAAAATCTTCTAAATACAGTACAAAAATACAATTCAAAGACATGCAAATGAAAAGAGTACACACGAATCTATAAATTTGTAAAAAAAAAAACCTTTGTCAATCACATTCGGTGAAACCAAACAAGACTGTCCTAATTCTGAGCAAGCACCGACTGTCGGCCGAAGCTGTTGTTGCACCAGGATTTACACGACTGGTCTGAAGCCCTTATTTTTGGCGCTGCATCGCCGTCGGAAGCTTGGTTGCCACCGTAGCTAAAGTAAAGAGCCTATAATTATAGGCGGAATCAAGGGTGTTAGAAACCCCCTAAATTTTTAAAAATTAAAAAAATAGAGGAAAAGAAAATTATATTCACATTAATTTAGTCGGAAATCCTCTAGTATTAAGTGCCATAGACATCCTACAATTTAGTACCTCAGCTTGGACCATGGTGGGGCTTAGGTGGTGGTCTGGACCTTCTACTTAAAATCGATTTTTCGGGTCCCCTCTATTTCAAATTCCTTAATCAGCCACTGAAAAGTAGGCCTAAATCACTAAATTAGCTCAAACTCAATTTCAAATTCAATTTTATCAAAGCAAATGCCATCAAGGACCAATATTACATAACACTAGAACAAACATACACTAAGGCTCATAACATTAGTAATTATTTGCCAGGGTCTCATAAGGGCGGAAAATGGGTAAGAGAGAAAAAAAAGAAAAACGAGTGTTCATTGGTATAATGTGGAAATAATAAGTTCAGGCTCCATAGAGTAGGAATGCGTTGTTTCGTGAACGACGGAGACTGGAGGGACACTGACGGCGAGGAGGGAGAAAAGAAATAAGAGGGTGGTTTTCATCTTCTATACAAGGTTGCGCAATATATGACATTTAAGACGGAACGGCAGAATAGAGATGTTGTGTCGTGCAAAGATAGAAGAGTTAGTGGAGCATGTAGAATCGGCAGACAAAAGATTGAGTGTTAAAAGTAGACGCAATTTCAGAGGGGTCAGGTAGATTTTTTTTTAATCTGATTCCATTAGTTTGTAGTACCACGTTTAAGATTCGACAATAAATTATTATTATGACATTTTTTGCTCTTATATAATTTGAGCTCTAACCTATCCCTTTAACACCAAATACAATTCCCTGTCGTTAAACCAAGCCCATTGTCTGAGTTTCATATCGTTTCAGGCCAGGTGACAGCCACTTGGCGTCTTTGGTGTGCTTTCTAAAGCCGGGCACTTACTGTGCACGACGGTCGTCGGGCCCGTAGCGTGGGGGGTGGGGTGGAGTTAAGGGGGTTATGAGGAACCGCCCAAACACTGGAGAAAGTCAGCATTTACATACGAATAATTGATATTTGTAGATATTTTTACAATGTTCTCCAGAGTACCGGAGATCATACAAGCCAAGGGTCCACTTTCCACTGAAACGAACCTTTCACAAATTAAGTTACGCTACGGGCCTGGTCGTCGGCCGGTGCGATTCTATAAAGAACGCAACGCGATGATTCGCGCGCAACGGATCGTTTTTAATGATCAGACTGCTACTGACAATCAGCAGACGGCGTTGCGTCGTCGTCTATCGCTCTCAGGAAGCGGAGTTGGATTCGTCGTGCGACGGTCGTACGACGCAGTGAGTGCCCGGCTTTATGGACCGATATCCAAGGATTGCTTTAACAGAGAATTGATAAAAGAAGTAAAATGATAATCAACCTCAATATGAGGCTTAGTGTTCAGTAAATGTTCAAAATAAGTTCAATCAACGTTATCTAATTCCTGTTAAAAGCATTCATGGAGCCCGAGTCCGTTCGTAGAATTTTGGTTTTGTAATCGTACTGACGAGCATTTTTAGGTAGTTCAAGTTTGATATCAAATGATACAGCTTTAAGATCGCACCCAGAGATCGAATTAAAAACAATTGGACATTAGATATCACACCGACCTTACTATAACAACTCCCTGCTTAAAACAACATCCAGAATGCGATTTTCCCGTGTTGCAGTAGTGACATGTTAAACAAAGTCGTTCGTTGACTTAAATAGGCAAAATTGTTGCTAAAAGTGATCATTGATATCTTCGAAAAATAATGAGTTTGACGTTTGTGTCCACCTGTAAACTAAGTATGCATTCCTGAAAAGCGTCGTATCCATGGGTCTTGTTAGCAGCACGTTGCCGGTATACCGTGAGAATTTGGAACTTCGTTGTTTACATTTGCCGTAATCAACACAAAATCGATGTTTTTGTTTCGGTTGGTGTCAGTGACTTTATAGACCTATGGAATGTTTTCAGCTCTGCATATCACAATTCCACCACCTCAGGAATCGCTTCTGAAACTCCGGTACTCATTGAGCTGAGAAAGCGCAGAATCATTGTCTGCCATACAGCCAGGTTTTGGCATCCGGAGCAAGAGAGAAAATTGCGCCCCCAATTATAATTATAATATTGTGAAATAAATTGATATTGTTGTATAAGCTTTAAGCATTATCCGTACCGTACGTCCGTACCATGCACTGTAAAAAAAAGCAAACTGTCTAAATAACATTATTAAAACCGGAATAACTATTATTGTTCTCTCATAGACAGTAAGTTCATTCTTACTATTGAAACTGCATTACGATGTTTGCAACTGTGTACACAAACTTTACCATTATCCTAATTTTTAAGGTTGTTCTATTTATCGCATACAGGTTAGAATTCTTATTTTCTAAATTTTATATAATGGTAGAGTCTTGTAAGTTGCTGAATTTGTAACATTGTTTAAACTCGCAACTACATTTTGCGTGCTTTTGCATCAATTTAGCACCAAGACTTTAAGGTACCGTACCTATTCCCGCATGTAACAAAGTGATACATGGTATTTCAAAAATGTAGGCTATAAAAACTAGCTATTCGCTATGGCGCTTCACAGGCACTCACTGGACGGAAAAATATAGTTGCTGCTACGGTGTGTTAGGATAGATATACGTCACTCGATATTTGGAGATTCATGATCCATCTCACAATAATGATCCTAACCTCACTTTAGCTGTACATAGTTTTTGATCCAGTCGAAATTTGTAACTCCCCGTCTGACATCTAATTGAAGTATGCCACGGAGTATGTCAAGAATAAGGCATTGCATTCGGTGTTATTTGAAATTTAACTCAACCTTCGATGAAATGCTGCCCAGTCCAAACATTCGCTCGAAGTCGTGATATATATTTCCACCTTACGAAATCCACTGCCTTTGAACTGATATAGGCCTACTGAAATACTCGAAATATCAGTGAAATGTAGCCATTACAGAACAGTATAAAAAAAGAGAAAATCGGTCGAAATGGACTGTAAGGAAATTATAATCTCTAAATTTGCCAATAAAAACAACTAAAGTCAGATTCTTTATTATTAACAGGGAAATATTCATGCCTGCAGGCATACATAAATTTCGTCATGTTTTTTTCTAAAAATTGCTTATTATTTTTTATTCTCATCCTCCCATTTCAGCCCCCACCCCCAAACTCACACTTGACTCCCGCTAGCTACGCCACTGGACCTGAGCCTGCCCGTACCACTGCTTTCGAACCCGGGCCACTCAGAATCATGTGCGCCACAGGTTACATTGTAGAGTATTGCTTTCTAATAGAAACCTTTCATTTGTAAACTAGAGATAAGTTCATTTTATTTTTATATCCTACATATTATATATATACTCGCACAGATTAATCAGTAGATTTACATTTAATAATTATTGCTGACTTTCTTTTCCAGATAGTTGTTACAACAGGTGTTACGGTTAGTTGCAATATAATTTTTTTTAAATACACGAATATCGTATTAAGAAAATACATGTTTCTACTGTAATAATAAATCAAATATATCAACATTTCAAGATCATATACATTTTCAAATATTATAGATAGATCTTAAATATTCCGGTCATATAACACATATTCCGCTTTTTAAGCTAATGTAAAAACAATTGCTTCATGTTTCATGCGAGTTTTCGGCATCTTTCTCAATAACATGTTTTTTTAATGACAGGCATGTTGTGGCAAAATTGTTATGTTTGCAGCAAAAGTTGAAATTTAAGGTATTTTAAGATACCGTGAGGGGGAGGAGATAAATTGAGAAGTCATTCATTGAAATTGGACACTTCAAGCCATAGATATTGGGAAGTGAAAGTACAACACACTTAGATTCAAGATAAACATGATTTTGAGTAAATTCCTTCCAAAGTTATTTGGTGCATAAATTGTTTATCAGAATTATTTACCAAAATAACATTAAATTATCGATTTGTTGACCGTTTCCAGTTGAATTATAGTAAAAAAAAAATTAGCCCATTTTTTAGGTTCCTCTTTTTTATAGCTCATTTTCTCACTACTGGCCTGTTGGATAACATCATCAGGACATGCTTCTGCTTAAATGAATATTTTAGGACTTCATGAAAAGAATTCAATTTGCTTGTATTTTTTATGGTGAATTTACAATGAACATTTTTTATGATGTTTACATTGTAAAAAAAAACGTAATGTCTGTAAGTTTTTATTAGTTACACATAAATAAAATAAAATAATTAAAAGTAATCTGTAAAATATTTATGTGTTAATACACCATATTGTTAATATTGTTCACAACATAATTTGTAAATTGAAATTACATTTTCCCACACATATTTTCTATAGATCACATTTTAGTTCCGATTAAGTAATCTTTCATGCAATCACTCCTTTGGAAATGTAATAATATTAGTGAAAAATGACGGAATGTATTGTAGTAGACTCAAACCATAATACATTTGTTGTAATTTCATTCAGTGTACATAACATTTTTCTCCTTTTTTAAAGATAAATTTCCAGTGATCGACAAAAACGGTTAGTTGCAACATTTGGTGAATTTTTGGACTTTAGACTCTAATGTTGTATAAAGACACTTTCACGATTTATCATAACCGATAAATAGTTAAAGAAAGCCCACATATTATACAAAAAACCGAATTATTATTATTATTATTATTATTATTATTATCATCAACATCATCATTATTTTTATTATTATTATATCAATGTCATATCATTATTGTTAATATTATTATTATTATTATTATTATTATTATTATTATTATTATAAATATATGCTTACTGTAGATTTTAACGACCTGTACTCATTTTAAAATATGTTGTCACATAATCATCTTTTTTGGAAAACTATTTCATGGAATAAATCGCCAGATTTCCTTCTTGGATTTTGTTTAATTTCACACTGCAATTTACTCTACTTCGATAGTTATAAAAATGCCATAACATAAAACTACGTAGGAGTAAATTTCTAAAGCATATAGTGGCCCTTGTGTAAATTGTTTTGCCACTTGCTATTTTAATAATGACCTCGTAGCCACCATAGGACGATATCCCTGATGCAACCACAAATAATTAGTATATGCCTTACATAACAAAAAATAAATAAATTTAAAAAAAAAATGAAAAAACAGTGATGTTTGGTGGTTGTTAGATTGATAATAAATAAAAATAATAAAATATTTCACTGATTGATTAATTGGTTGATTGATTGATTGATTGATTGATTCGTTGGTTGGTTAATTGGTTGAGCAATTGATTGATTGACTAATGAACTGTTTGACAGACTACCGATCGTCTGGCTGATATTACTATACTAACTGCTGATTGACTGATTGATTGGCTGACTAACTGATGGACGGACTACTTATGTAAATTAATGGATTTTAAATTAATGTACCGGATGATAACATTCAAGTGTTTTTGTTTTGTTTTTTATTTATTATTTCAGACTGTGATACTAGTTGTTATGGTTAGTTGCAGTTCAATGTGTGGTTTATATGTGTACATATTAAGAGGAAATTAATCAGCGGCGTTGTTGGCGACGACGGGACCCAGTGTAATATCATTGCCAGACCACCTTGATGTGAAGCGTCAACAGAGTGTCCGAGATATGGCTGAAAACAAACCCACAAACCTCGTTTGGTTCATGGGCAAAATGCTATAGGATTTAGGAGGCGAATCCCATGGAAGCTTAGAAGCTTTAGTATTTCACAAGCGGTATTTGAATGTATCTAAAGGGAAATTCTTAGCTATTGATTAAAAAAAAAAAATTATGATCTAAAGTGCTTCCTTACTGTTTCCCCATTTCCCCGGATAGCGCTTAAGCAGTAGGACATCCACAATACAAGTGGCATTAAAGTAATTGTGGTCTGAAGGGGACCTCTATCTAAATAATTGGACACATGGTTATTGATTTTGGTTGCTGCCGGACATGGGCGTGGTGCCCGTTTTACCACTGGATCTGCAAATGTTATACTAATAAAAGTCTTAATTCTTTTTTTTTTTTAAATCTTTTTCTTATAAAGAATAGGTAGGACATTTGAATTGTAAGTCCTATTATTAATCGTTTAGCGCCCCTATTAACTCTGGACAACATGTGTGTAATTGGAAAGTGTTGCAAATATTGTTAAACAAATTCCAGTAAACAGTGCAAAATTTTTAATCAGTACACATATAATGTTGATATTCTGTTTTCTTTTCCAGAATGTAGAAGCAGGTGTGATGGTTAGTTGCAATAATTGCTTTTTGAATATTAAGGAATTTTAAATATATTTTTAGCCCTTATTTTGCATTGATAAAAAAGTGTGATCAAAGATATATATCTGTCTCTTATACACATCTAGATGTGTATAAGAGACAGCCCACATATTATACAAAAAACCGAATTATTATTATCATCATCATCATCATCATCATTATTTTTATTATTATTATATCAATGTCATATCATTATTGTTAATATTATTATTATTATTATTATTATTATTATTGTTATTATTATTA